CTTTAAGGGCCTGAGACTAAAGGTTATACCTACCAAGCAGTTGTGAGTTCGATGTTGAACATCATCTATGAGGAGACAGTGCCATGGGGTTGTCACCATATCACAGAGCCCTCTAAATCACAACCGTCTGCTCTCGTACAATGTCTGACTGTTGTTCATCTGAGTAGGCTGGCAAAAACAAAGACCTTGGATGTATAGTTTAATTGTACCAAAGCCAACTGCCGTCGCGGGCGCCCTCAACTCCTCAGCCCTGGTGACAGGTGGATGAGGACGTGGTTGCACCTGTCCCCTGCTAGCTTCAGGCCAATTCAAACTCATCCTGTATTCACTGTTCAGAGATGTAACCTTCATCTAAATCGCTCATGATAAACTTTTTCGCTGTTTGAATATATGGCCGTTGTGTCAACCTTAAAAATGTCTTATTACATCAGCAGCCCCATAAATCGATAACATCAAATTTCGACAAATTTCCACCTAAGTGTCCAGCCGTGCTCATGCGGTTCAGTGCTGGCTCCAGTCAATTTTGAATAAACAGAGGAACAGCTGACTGGATTCGTGTTACTTTCAGCTACTCACTAGTAGTATGTAATCCTATGGTGATCCCAGGTGCAAGCGCGATAAAAGCGTGAAGGAACTTGCCAATTGACTTCCCACCAAAGATGTCTCCCCCCTGTATTTGTGCGCCACAACCTTCTTATGCTGAGCTTTCTGCTATATTTGTTTAGCCGAGCCTTACTAGTTAATTGGGACATTGACTTCTGATGGACTACCTATCAGAACGTCGTGATTGATATCACGATGTCAAGTGTTTCACAAGTAAGAGACTGGACCGATTCCGGGACAAGGGATCGATTGTATGCACAGAGTCGGTTGCCGTGTTTTGATCATCATATCCTTACAAAAGGCCAACAATTTCAAGCTTTGATTGATATGAAGAAATGTGGTCAGCTTTCGTAGATAAGTCGCCAATAAAGTGCCCCACATTAAAAACCGCGGCTGCTGAACGGGTCGCGACAGATATTTTCTAAGAGCAACTCCGAAATTTCTTGTGAATCAGACTTACATAGGTTCCACTCTAACTGCAATAGGTGGATGAATAAAACGACTTTTGGATCTTGCCGGATGCGTCATTGTCGTGTAGCATTGTATTAGCTGTTCGAATGACGGCTTATATTGTTATATTGAATAGTTCAAATGAGGCATACTACTCACATGCAGTATAGTAGAACGGAGACTATAGCGTCAAACTTTGTTTCAATGAACACATTTTCTAGCAGCAACTAAAGTGGCTTACGTTGTGTGAAAACTTTAAAGTCACGAAGCATTTTGGTTGCCTCAAGTAACCCCGAACCACGAACCCCGTCCAAAAAAGCGGCTCCCCCTAGGGCGAAGGTGATTCCATTCCCAAAATTAGTGAAATTTTCTAAGGCTTCTGGATAAACGCGGCAACTCAATTATCACATATGATGTACAGATACAAGTTCAAGTACGGTTGGATATGGGATTTATAAAATAGGGGAGTTCGTCTTGTGCTTGAAGCCCATCTACACTGAAAGGCCAAGAGACACTGTATAGCTGTTTCATTCTTACTGGTAATCAGCAATGCGCATTTCACGAAACTGCAGGGAGCTTTGAATCCGCGGCCTGAATGCCTAATGGTTTGTACACGAACGGCTGATCATCCATGTAACTCGTAGTGAGACAGTATTTAGATAAACCACTATATATATATATATA